TTTGGCTCAGTAAATAGAGTGATAGCCTGTGGACTGAAAGGTCCCAGGTTTGATTCTAGTCAGGGGCATGTACCTTGGTTGTGGGCACATCCCCAGTGGGGGGTGTGCAGGAGGCAGCTGATTGATGTTTCTCTCCTATTGATGTTTCTAACTCTCCCCCTTCCTCTCTGTAAAAAAAAAAAAATCAATAAAATATATATTTTTAAAAATTGGGTTGTTTTGGGTCAAGTTACAGGAATTCTTCATGTATTCTGGAAATTAGACCCTTATCAGATAACTGACTTACAAATATTTAAATATTTTATTCCATGTTGAGGTTTGTCTGTTCACTCTCTTGATAGTGCCCTTTAATACACAAAAGCTTTTAATTTTGAATTTGATTTTGATAAAGTCCAATTTATCTAATTTTTCTTTTGTGCGTTTGGTGTCCTAAAAAACCATTGCCAAATCCAGGGTCATGAAACAAAGTTTCATAGATTTTGCTCTTATATTTAGGCCATTGATGCATTTAGAATTAATTTTGATGTAAAGCACAAGGATCCAACTTCATTCTTTTGCATGTGAATTTTGTTTATAGCCGCATAAGACCACCAAAGTTCTGATGGTTTATCAGTTTTCTATCACTAGCCTAGGCCAGTGGTTGGCAAATTCATTAGTCAACAGTACGACGATTGAAATTTCTTTTGAGAGCCGAAGACCGACTTCTGCGTATGGGCCACGAAGTTTTAATTGCACTGTACGTGCGTGCCCACACATGGTATTTGTGGAAGAGCCACACTCAAGGGGCCAAAGAGCCACATCTGGCTCGCAAGCTGCAGTTTGCTGACCATTAGCCTAGGCAGATTTGATTCTCAGCTTCTTGCCTTATGCTCAGATTCAACAAAGCTTCCTTGGAAATGTGGATGCACTGATCAGGCCACCTCACTATGCTTCCCTGCTCTCTAATTCTTGGTCTCTAGGTCTTTTCCTTCAGAAGTTCTCTAATAGCCTTTTATTTTTAGTCCTCACCCAAGGATATTTGCCGTTGAGTTTTTAGAGAGAGTAGAAGAGAGGGAAAGATAGAAATATCAATGTAAGAGAAGCACATCGATTGGTTGCCTCCTGCACACACCCAACCAGGGCCTGCACCAGGCTGGATCCTGCAACCGAGGTATGTTCCATTGACCGGAGTCAAACCTGGAATGCTTCGGTCCGCAGGTGGCCAACACTCTATCCACTGAGCCAAACTGGCTAGGGCCCAATAGCTTTAAAAATATATTTTTTTAAAGATATTGGGCCCAAAACTCTGGGGAGGGAGGGTATGTATGGGAGGGGAGGGGGGGGCAATGGTAAGATATGTACACGGGTAATTTAATTAAAAAAAATATATATATATTTTAAACTTTCCCCCCCTATATTTTAAAACTGTTCTTTTTTTTAAGTTTGCTCTGAAAGAAGTAGAGTTTCTATATATATATTTATTTATATTTATATTTATTTATATTTATTTTGGAGAAGAAGGAAGAGGGAGAGATGGAAACATCAATTGATTGGCTGCCTCTTGCACACTCCACTCTGGGGATCAAGTCTGCAACCCAGGCATGTATCCTGACTGGGAATCAAACCATGACCTCCTGGTTCATAACTTGACTCTCAACCACTGAGCCACACCAGCCCAGCTAAATTTGTTCTTGATGGACGCATTGGTTTAACACAAACTACTTCTTCATTCCTGGAAGTGATAGTAACATAGTTTATTGCCACAAATAGTTTACTGTTATATATCGGTTATCACATCCATTATCCAGTTAACTTCTTTTTTTTTTTTAATTAAATCTTTATTGTTGAAAGTATTATATATATCCCCTTTTTCCCTCATTAACCCCTTATAACCTGCTCCATTCTCCCTTCCCCCCAGGCCTTCACCATCCTATTGTCTGTGTCCTTTGGTTATGCATATATGCATACAAATTCTTTGGTTGATGTCTTCCTACCCACTCACCCTCCCCCATCTTCCCTCTGAAATTCTGCACTTTGTTCTATGCTTCTACATCTCTGGATCTATTTTGTTCATCAAATTCCACGTATGAGTGAGATCATGTGATATTTGTCTTTCTCTGACTGGCTTATTTCACTTAGCATAATATTCTCCAGGTCCCTGCCAGCGCTTATGGCTCAAAATGCTAGGAGGAGGCGGAGTGTCTTGAACTTGCAACCCTGGCATCTGCACACCAAGCCTTGGGGCAGACCATGGCGGTGGCGCCTGTGGGTGAAAGGAGGAGAGGAGGGAGTTGGGGTGCGGATCTGGGAGGGTCCTAGAGTCTTCAGGAACAGCCCACCTGCAAGGTTGCTTGTGAACCACACGCTTGGGCTTGGTCAAAGCCCCGTCAGCTCTGCCACTTGCCTTCCAGGTGCAGCTAGCCCTGAGCCAGCTGGCGTTGTGCTCAGAGAAACTGCTGTCCCTGGGCTCAGTTAAATAAGAGAAATCAAAGAGCCGAGAGTAAATATCCTTCCAGCCCTTTCCTACGCCTCAGCTAAGGAGGGCTGGGGCTAGGGGTAATGGAAAACGGCTGCTGCTTTGCATTTTATAATGAAAAGACTCCTGCTATGTAGAGAGGAGAGCTGCTTTGTTTCTAGCAACACATGGCGTTTTCCCTGCCCCAGCCCTGAAGCCTGACAGCACCTAGCAAAGGTGTGTCTGCACAGCCATGTTGGCCTGGCTCCTGGAATGTTGAGAGCAGGTTTGAGCTGCATTGATTAAAAAAATAAAAGCTAAAAATTGAAAAACACCTTTTTGTACTCAAATGGCACTATAAAATGCAGATTACAGCATCTGATTTTGTCTTCTATGTTTATTTTGAGGCAGAGTGCAAATAGGTTCATGGGAAAAGTAGAAAACACAAAGGGAAAGGGAGAGATTCTGCTGTCCACAGCATTGAATGTTGTAACTTTTTGTGTGTTTTGTTGTTGTTATTTTTCCTTCTATTCTTCAAGTCATTATATGCCATTTAAACCACTTTATGGCCTTAGGTAATGAGCTAATGCTTCCTCTATTAAGAGCAAGCAGTAGTGCTTTCATGAGTCACTTACATTTAATCCATTCAAATGGAGCATACTGAGAGGAGAGAATGATATGTGTCATTATATAAAGAACTTGGCATTATGATGCTATCTGGCTGAAGATCTTATTAATTTTGCAATTTAGAGAATGTAGACAAATAAGGCGTTGATAATGAATGTGCATGCTTAACTGCATGACTTTATTTTCATCTGTAACGACCAAATGACTGGTCACCAGTAGGTGCATTGAAGGGTCCTGCAGCGCAGCGAGTCTGGGTGAGGCTGTGTGGCGTGGGCCAGGGCCAGGGGACCTGAGGTTGCACCCCTAGCGCCAGGACATGAGGCTGTGTCCCCCGCCCAGCGAGGCTTGATGAGGGTGGGGCCGGCTGGGTCGTGGTGTTGCCCAATAAGGGTGGGGCCAGCCAGACCCTTCTATTATAGAGAAAGGGCAAATAACAATATTAAAATATTTCCTCTAATTAATCCCCTTTAAATGTGCGCAAATTTTGTGCACCTGGTCACTGGTGTTGAATAAGAGTAGTGAAAGTCAACATTACTGTCTACTGTTCTACAGTTAACTTCTTTGACATCAGTATCTTTAAGTTACTCTTGCCCTTCTGATTGTATTGTGCATAGGAGATCTCTTGTAAATATTTGTCAGTGTAATAAATTGATTCTTACTCAATAGGCCTGGTAGTGAGAATATTTGTTATTAATTCAAAATCAACAATGACTCAAACTATTATGTAAACAAGTGGAAAAATATTTGTCAAAAGTCCAGATGAGCCTTAGCTAGTAGGCTCAGTGGCTAGAGTGGCAATCTGCTGACTGAAGGGTCTTAGGTTCCCTTCCAGTCAAGGGCCCAGGCTCTATCCCCAGAGTGGAGCATGTAGAAGGTAGCCGATCAAAGATTGTCAGCATTGATATTTCTATCTCTCTCTCCTCCCTTCCTCTCTGAAATCAGTAAAAATATATCTTTAAAAAAAAGCTCAACCTGACCGGCATGTCTCAGTGGTTGAGCATATCAACCTATGAACCAGAAGGTTGGTTCAATTCCAGTCAGGGCACATGCACAGATTGCAGGCTCCATCTCCAGTATGGGGCATGCAGGAGACAGCGATCAGTGATTCTCTCTCATCATTGATGTTTCTATCTCTCTCCCTTTCCCTGACTCTCTGAAATTAATAAAATATATATATATAGATTAAGGAAAAAAAGCCCAGTTGTACACTTCTTGGGATATTTGATTTATTCTTGTGGTTATAATGATGATTTAATATGGTTTTATGTTTGGAGCCACTATTTATTCCTTGTTGCTTTCTTAATATTAGCTTATAGTTAGCTATGTTTACATTAAGTGATTTCAGAGTTTAAAGAACTCTCTTTTGTTTTATCTTTAATTTTTAATGTAAAAAGAACAAGAAAGTATGAGAAAAAGTGAGAGATCTCTTCCCTATTTCTCTCCCTCAAAATAACTAGTTTACTTCTCTTCCTCTTCTCTCTTTCCATTTCACTTCTTGTCCCCTCTTCTGTTGATATAAATGAAGAAAATATAAAAATTGAAATACATAAAAGGAAGAACATTAAAATTTCTTGTAATCTTATCACCAAGTAATAATTACTCTTTTGAGCATTTAACATATCTCTTTTGTGTTTTTTGTTTTCTTTATAAAATGGAGCATATTGTTATTATTGGTTCTCAGGATTGTCTCTACATTAATATCACCAATAACAATTAAAATATACATATAGATTCTGAGATACATCTTAGACTTAACCAAATCATAATCTCTAGGGGTAGGGCTAAGATGATTTGTTAAAAAAACAAAAATCCTCCTTCAAAAAATTTAATAACTTTCAGAATTTTTAAACAAAAAATTGAATATTGCAGTATTGTATATAGAAAACTTTAATTTATAAATAAATCTTTCTCTAATGGTTCAATTTTAACTTTTTCCTAGCCATTCCACCCTATGGTGAACCTGGATTGTTCTCGGGATTTCCGGCCATTTCTTTGTGCACTCTATGCTCCTATTTGTATGGAATATGGACGTGTCACACTTCCCTGTCGTAGACTGTGTCAGCGGGCTTACAGCGAATGTTCAAAGCTTATGGAGATGTTTGGTGTTCCTTGGCCTGAAGATATGGAATGCAGTAGGTGCGAAAATCATATTTTTATGGATCATTACTTACGTTGCAATATATTTAAAAATTACTTGTGTTCATCAGTTTTTAAAAACTTTTTAAAGTACATATATATTTTTCTTAATTTAAAAATATATACTTGTTTTTTTATTTCAGAAAGGAAGGGAGAGGGAGAGATAGAAACATCAGTGATGAGAGAGAATCATTGATTGCTGCCTCCTACATGCCCCACACTAGGGATCGAGCCCACAGCCCAGGCATGTGTCCTGACTGGGAATCGAACCATGACCTCCTGGTTTATAGGTTAACCACTAAGCCAAACTGGCTGGATTGATTTTTTTCTTTTTAAGAAAAAAACACACACAAAATAACAATTTAAATGAAGTTGAAAATTCCTTCCTTGGTACCTGCCTTGATTTCATTACCTTCTTTCCTCCCCAGAGATGAAGTAATCATGTTAAATTTGTTGTTAATCATTCCTGTGTGTGTTTTTATATTCTTATTACATATATACATAACCATAAGCAACATTATATTTTTTTACATGTACCTATGTTTATATCTTTAGGTCTGGTTCATTCCCTTTAATTTCTATATAATGGCCAGTTATATTAATATCCTATAGTTATTTAGTCATCTCCTAAGGATGGTCATTTGGGTTATTCCCAGCTTTTTGCTATTATCAATATGAGCAATGTTACAGTGAACATTGTCATCTTCATGTTTAAAATTAAATTTGTTTATCATCTGACAGTAAAAAGCAGGTGGTTTAATCTCACTTGAGAGATGGAAAATTTAAGAAATAAAACATTAATTGCTTGTAGTCAGTTCACTGACATTTTGCTTTCTTATCCACTCTCTCCTCAAATACCTGATTATATTCATAGTCCCTCTTTAGAAATTCGTAAATTTTTTGCCTGGACCAGAATCCTATTTTGTTTTTTGTATCTAACTCTCATTGTTTAGTGGTCACTTTATGTTAAAAGTTTATATACAAGTATAGAAATCTCATCATGATCTTTATTTCTTTATTTTGATAAAATTAAATCTATTTTATGTCCTCACTATTGCCTGGATTGCCTAACTCTGAAAGCTTAAATCCTGGCAAGCTGATCTTTGGTAACAACTCTTCATTCATCCAAATCTCTCATATTTTTGTTTCTACTGCATACATCTTTGCTTCATGGACACCCCTAAACTTTTGTGAGGTTTTTTTACTCTCCCAATAGACCCCTTCCTGATCGTAATTATTTCCTTACTTAGTTTAAGCTTTGTTGTTCATCACTTGAAATAACACGTTCGTTAGCATTCTTAATTTATTTCTTCCACTATATTTGCTCAGATCCCCAAACTGATTGACTCAACCAATGTCTTATAAATTACCTGTGCTATTATTTTTAAATATATATATTTTATTGATTTTTTACAGAGAGGAAGGGAGAGGGATCGAGAGTTAGAAACATCCCTCGAGGGGTCCCATATTGGAGAGGGTGCAGGCTGGGCTCAGCGACACCCTCCACCTCCATGCACGAATTCCGTGCATCAGGCCTCTATTATGAATATATTTATTCAACAATGATAATTTAACAAGTAGTAAATGGATGTGCTCTGTGTGTGGGCATTATCCTATGTTGAAGATGAACAGTAAACAAAACATCTCTGTTCTTATGGAGCTAATATTCTAGTGGTGGGAGATAAATAGGTAATGTCAACAAATGCTATTAAGAAAGAGTAGAGATCAGAGACATAGAAGTATGGAACAGACTGATGTATCTCAGAGGGAAGGCATGATGGTTGAGTGGGTAAGAACAGATTAACCAAAGAACTTATATGTATAACCCATGGATATAAACAATAGTGGTGAAGGCATGGGGGGAGAGGGGGACACAGGTTGATAGGGATCAATGAGGGGGAAAAATGGGACATCTATAATACTTTCAACAATAAAGATAAACTTAAAGAAAAGAGTGGAGTTAGGTGATAGTGATACAACACAGGGAAGTAGAAGCTCTATTATCTGTGGAGGCATTGGGGAAGGCCTTTTTGATAAGGAGGTATTGGATGAGGAATCTAAGTAAAGGGGGAGAACAAATACAGATATCTAGGAAAGAATACTCCAGGCAGAAGAAACAGAGGATCAAGTTCAAAGGTTCTGAAGTGAAAGAATGTTTGGCATATTCAGAGAACAAAGAGATCAAAGAGGCTGGAGCTAAGTGAGGGAAGAAGAATGGAAAGATTAAATAAGATGAGAAAAGTATTGGGGAGGTAGTTTTGTAGCTCTAATATGAATTTGAATTTGTCTGAGAAGGGAAGCCATTAGAAGATTTTGAACAGAAGAAACATCATGAGCACAGGAATGGCTGCTGTGTGGAAGTGGAGATCAATTGGAAGTCCAAGGATGAGGCACTGATGTCAAACTGGGGGGCAGCAGCGGAGAAAAAGAGAAGTGGTCAGATTCTGGAATATAACAAAGTAAAATGACAGGATTTGCTGGTAGATTCTGAAGTGTAAATGAGAGAGAAGATGACCCCAAAGTCTTTGGCTAGGCAGCTAGAATGAAATTATCATTCATGGAAATGGAGAAATCTAAGGAGAAAAAATCAAGTGTTTGGTTTTGAGTGAAAGGCGTCTATGTGTTGAATTGGCATTTAGATATATACAAATATATCCATAAAAATACATAGTATTACTTTGCATGGTTTTAAATTTTATCAGTTTTGTATATACATACACATTTCTGCCACATGCTTACCTCTCCAATCTCATCCCTGTCACAAGTCATGCATACCTCATGCTCCAGTAGTACTAAACTCACCCTGTTCACAACTGTATGCTTTTGTTTGAACAGAAGCTAGAACACTGTTTGGCATATTTCCAATACTGGCAAATACTGATTCAAAGTTTTATGTTCAGAGACTTACCCGGTGAAGTCTTTTATAACCTCTTCTCCTAATTAATCCTTCTCTATATCATTTTATACTTTATATAGATTTTGATTGCTTCATGCATCACACTATTGTCTTTTGTGCTGTCTTTACCAGTATGTATCTCCTTTTAGACTGAAGGATAGAGATCCTGTTCTTTTGTCTGTTTATGTTAGACTCCTGGCATACTTCAGGATTCCAATAAATGCCTGAAAGCAGTAAGTTTCTGTCTTTATAATTCCAAACCCTGTGAAGAAAATGGTTTGTATCAAAAAATAAAAGATTAATCCACTACAGTATAAGGTTATGCATGCATTTGGCAAACAATATAAATGATAGTTCCTTGGAAACTATTTGATGCATATAAACTAGTAAACATTGTTAGTGAGAGTCTGAGGACTTGGCAACTGCTACTGGCAAGAAAATTGAAGATGCAGGAAGTTCATGAGAATGGTACTGTTAGTCGTGTAAGCATGTCTGCCTTATTTTCTCTGTTCTGAGGCTATGACACTCAAGTTTGTGGATCTGAAAAATTGTTAAAATGCAGATTTCTTGGGCCCTAACAAGAGTATATTGTAATATGACTTGTGGTGGTAGGGACCGAGAGTTTACATTTTAAAAGGATCTTAAATTTTCTCATGCACTTGAAAGTTTGAGAATAACTGGATTAGAGAATGCAGTGGGTTGGAGAGAAATTAGAGATGGTAGGAAGAAAATAGTTGACATTAGAGATCTTAGAAGGCCTTTACCAATATGATAAGCAGAGAATAATTGTAAAACAAAGGGAAAACATTAAAATCTTTAGCTTTCTAATTCCAACCCCTGTGAAGAAAATAAATTTAAAAAAAGATTAATCTACTAGAGCATAAGGTTATGCATTTGGCAAACAATATAAATGATAGTTCCTTGAAAACTATTTGATGCATATAAACTAGTATATAAGCTACTTATAAGGATTTTTAATGTTAATTTAACTCAAAATACCTTGGAACATGCATTTAGGGAATATTTTTAGCTCTTATGTTTAAGTAAGTTCTATGTGAATATAGGGTAAATTGAAGACTATACTGTAATTAGACCAAACTAACTTCTAGCTTCTATTTTGTTGGAACTGTATACTTACATTTATTTATTTTACTTTTTTATATATATGTTTATATTTTGAAATGATCCAAATTGTGTTCTAAATAAATAGTTTATATATACATCTTTTTAAATATATATATATATATTTATATTTTATTGATTTCAGAGAGGGAGGAGAGAGAGAGAGAGAAACATCAGTGATGAGAGAGAGTCATCGATCAGTTGCCCACTGTACGCCCCACACTGGGGAGCAAGCCTGCAACCCCGTCATGTGCCCTGATCAACCACTGAGCCATACTGACTGGGCATATACCTTTTTTGGATGGCTATGCTTGACCATTTTAAGAAAGAGTACTGTTTTCATTATTGTTTTAATCCTCAAGCAAGAATTCTAGAGAGACTGGGAGGGAAATGATGGGGAGAGAGCGGGAGAGACACATATCGACACAAGAGAGATACATCAATTGGCTGCCTCCTGGTCAAGCCCCTACCAGGGCTAAGGAACTTGCAACTTCGGTATATGCTCTTGACTGGGAATCGAACCCATGAAACCAGCAAGAGTACTGCTTTTAAAGCCAAGACAAAATTGTGAAACATCATTTTTGGTCAACTATGGAAAATCTAGTTCTGTAAACCAAACAATATACTACTATTTGCCTTATTTCTACTTATTGTAATGTACTCTGTAAGTACGTAAGGAAAAATAATAAGGTCACGGGTGCTAATTTTGGAAATTCAAATTGTTAAGTGGCAGTGATTTCCCAGTAAGTAAAATGGTTCTCATCTTATATTTTATAGGTTCCCAGATTGTGATGAGCCATACCCTCGACTTGTGGATCTGAATTTAGATGGAGATCCTACTGAAGGAGCCCCAGTGGCAGTGCAGAGGGACTATGGTTTTTGGTGTCCTCGGGAGTTGAAAATTGATCCTGATCTTGGTTATTCTTTTTTGCACGTGCGTGATTGTTCACCTCCATGTCCAAATATGTACTTTAGGAGAGAAGAACTTTCATTTGCTCGATATTTCATAGGATTGATCTCAATCATTTGCCTCTCTGCCACGTTGTTTACTTTTTTAACTTTTTTGATTGATGTCACAAGATTTCGTTATCCTGAAAGACCTATTATTTTTTATGCAGTCTGCTACATGATGGTATCATTAATTTTTTTCATTGGGTTTTTGCTTGAGGACCGAGTAGCCTGCAATGCATCTAGCCCTGCACAGTATAAAGCTTCCACAGTGACACAAGGATCTCATAATAAAGCTTGTACCATGCTTTTTATGGTACTTTATTTTTTTACTATGGCTGGCAGCGTTTGGTGGGTAATTCTTACCATCACATGGTTCTTGGCAGCTGTGCCAAAGTGGGGTAGTGAAGCTATTGAGAAGAAAGCATTGCTGTTTCACGCCAGTGCATGGGGCATCCCTGGAACTCTAACTATCATCCTTTTAGCGATGAATAAAATTGAAGGTGACAATATCAGTGGCGTGTGTTTTGTTGGCCTCTACGATGTTGATGCATTGAGATACTTTGTTCTTGCACCCCTCTGCCTATATGTGGTAGTTGGGGTTTCACTCCTTTTAGCTGGCATTATATCCCTAAACAGAGTTCGAATTGAGATTCCATTAGAAAAGGAGAACCAAGATAAATTGGTGAAGTTTATGATCCGGATTGGTGTTTTCAGCATTCTTTATCTGGTGCCACTCTTGGTTGTAATTGGATGCTATTTTTATGAGCAAGCTTACCGTGGCATCTGGGAAACAACATGGATACAAGAACGCTGCAGAGAATATCACATTCCATGTCCATATCAGGTAAGGGAAACCTTGTTCTAAATTTTGTGTAATAGTGAAAAGAAGGCATATTACTCTGAAGAGCTAATCTTAGCTGGGGCTTTGAAAAACTTCATGAACCTTCAACTTGTATATTAAAGTTTTAAAGCGAAAGATAATGAACAAATATATTGTAATAAGAATGGCATACATATGTTTCTATAAACATCTTCCTATTAAAATGTGACTTTAACCACTTTAAAGTATGGGCTTTTAAGCAATTTACATCTGTTATTACAAAATAGTTGCTTGTTGATTCTTTAAAACTTCAGGTTTGAAGGGAAGAAGCACTTGACCAACTCTGGTAAAAAGGTACCGTCTTTTTATAGAAATTTTATTGATGTTCAAAATAGGAATTAATTGTTTTTTAGAATGCAGTTGTACAAATCAGTTCATTTCTTAATTGGTCTGTTTTCTCTTTTACATTACTGAATATTTTGTGATTTAGTTTAAAGAGATTAGATAATCATAATAATAGAATCATAGAATCTTAGAGATCATTTTCAGGTTCCCTCTATAAAATTCTTAAGCATCTGTCTCCTTTGAGACTTAGAAATGTCTAGTAAATTGCTCACACTCATCTGGGATTTAGGTCCTAGGAGAGAAGTGAAACAAGGAAAGTAATTCAGAGGAGTTGATGCTAAGTATTTCTCTCTCTCATCTTAAAACCTTCTGTGGAACTATGCCACTAGCTATTACCCTCTCTTCCCGTTAAGACAATTTTTTTTTTTTAGGAGTTATCTCCTGTTCATCATGTTCCAGGTTTTCTATTCTCAGAAGTGCACCAGCCACCTTTCTATCTATCCCAACCCTTATGTTTCTCTAATACCTTTTAAATATCTTTATTAAAGTACTTATGTATTTTACTTGTCTATTTCTCCTGCTAGATGGTGAACTCTTTAAAAGCAAGAAGTTCTTTTGCTTTCATATTTTTTGTGTTATCATATTTTAATGTATATTCTGTAGGTTAGTAGATAATACCATTGAGAATATGAGTGTATAGATTGAGAAAAAACATAAGAAATAGTAACATTCCTAGCCAGTTTGGCTCAGTGGATAGCATGTTGTCCCTTTTACTGAAGGGTCCTGGTTTGAGTCTGGTCAAGGGTATGTACCTTGGTTTTAGGCTTGATCCTCGGTCTCAGTTAGGACACGTGCAGGAGGCAACCAGTCGGTGTGTCTCTCTCACCTCCTCCCTTGCACACTTTCTAAAAGTTAGTGAAAAAATATCCTTGGGTGAGGATTAACAACAACAACAACAAAAATGGTAACCGTGGTACTGGGAATAAGGAATGTGTGATTAGTACATAGTCAAAGCTCATAAATATTTGGTGAATAAAAATGCCAATTCCCTTTTATTTTGTTGTGTAAATAGTCCTATACAAAATTACATTTTTATTGTATAAATATTAACTACTAGCTTTTAAAAAATAAACTCAAAATAAAGAGACCAGAAAGAATGAGTCATTGAAATTGTATTATATTTCTTATAATTCTTAACAGTATTACTTATTAACAACTCTTAATATGAATTTTCAGTCCTAAAAATAAATAATCAAATGAGAGAAAAAGGTGATCGAATTATATCATATGCTTTCCCATATAAGTTATCTAAGATTCCAAATATGTATTATCTTAGGGTTATTAAAAAAACAAAGTTTATGAAAAAATGATCTAAAAAATACCAAACCTTGCCCTAGCTGGTATAGCTTAGTGGATAGAGTGCTGGCCTGTAGAATGAAGGGTCCCAGGTTCGATTCTGATCAAGGGCACATGCAAAGGTTGCAGGCTCGATCCCCAGTGAGGATTGTGCAGGAGACAGCTAATCAATGATTTTCTCTCATCATTGATGTTTCTCTCTCTTGCTTGCCCTTCTATGAAATCAGTAAAAAAAAAAAAAAAAAAAAAAAAAAAAATATATATATATATATATATATATATATATATATTTTTTTTTTTTTTTTAAACCCAAACCTCAAATATGTAAATTAAAGTAGTTGGGATGCTGCTATTTTTATTATTTTGGTATTTTTTAGATCATTTTTTCATAAACTTTGTTTTTTTAATAACCCTAAGATAATACATATTTGGCATCTTTAAACAGTTTAAACTACACAGATATATGTGTGTGTTTGTGTGCACACATAAGTACATTCCTTTGTAGTTATAAGTTAAAATTATTTTTTCTAATTTATAGAAATGTTGGATTTCCAACATACTGAAAAGAATAGAGAATTATATAATAACAATAGCATAGTTATTAAGCTGTAAACTCTGGAGCAGGAATCCTGACTTCTTGGTTACTTCCATTATTTATTAGCTTTATAACATTAGACCAGCTTCACTCCTCTCTGCTTCAGTTCCCCATCTGTAAAATGAATAATAGAATTGAATAGTAATAGTATTAGATATAAATAGTAATAGAATCTTTCTCCTAGGTTTGTTTTTAACATACATACACTTAGAAAAGTACCTATTATATAAGTGCTCAAATGTTAGCTTTATTATTCATTTTATTCATTTTTTGTTGCTGCTCTTGCTATTTACATACATACATATATGTAAATAATAGGTTTTTTTAAACCATCCAGTACTAAGCTTTAGCAAACCATATTTGCTTTAGACTTTTCAGAGAAGTCATATTACAGATTTGACTGAAACTTCCTGCGTAACTTTCCCCAATCCTACTTCTCTTATTCCCTGCCCAGACTTAACCATCATCCTGAATTTGGAGTGTCATTCCCATGAAAGTCTATACAATTACCAATGTGAATGTAGCTATGAAAAACTTTTTATACTATACTAGAAGCCTGTTGCACAAAATTCATGCATTGGGTGGAGGAGGTCCCCTCAGCTCAACCTGCACCCTCTCACAGTCTGGGAGCCCTCAGGGGATGTCCCAATGACTGTCTGCCTCTGTGGTCAGTGCATGTCATAGCAAGCGGTTGAGTAGCCTTAGCATATAAATAGCATATTACGCTTTGATTGGTTGAATGGATGATCGGGCACTTAGCATATTAGGTTTTTATTATATAGGATAGTATGTAAATATGCTATACATCTGTTTTTTATATGTATTTATGTTAATACATAAATACACGTGCAGGAAGCAACCAGTCAATGTGTCTCTCACATCGATGTTTCTATCTCTCCTCCTCCCTTGCACACTTTCTAAAAGTCAGTGGAAAGATATCCTTGGGTGAAGATTAACAACAACAACAACAACAAAAATGGTAACTGTGGTACTGGGAATAAGGAATGTGTGATTAGTACATAGTCAAAGCTCATAAATATTTGGTGAATAAAAATGCCAATTCCCTTTATTTTGTTGTGTAAATAGTCCTATTTGCAGTTCATTTTTCTTTAATCTTTCCTTTTAAGGAAGGTATATGTTAATATTTTAAATATATAGAGGTATAGAAAATAACAAACATCCATCTACTCATAATGTTGAAATTTAATATTTTATCTATCTATCTGGCTGGCTGGCTATTATTAAAGACAAAGATGATGAATCTTTCCGTTCCCTTTCATATTCCCATTCCTCTTCCTTCTCCCTTCCCAGAGGTAACCCTTCTCATAAATGTGGTATTTATCACTTTTTCATATATATATTAATCCTCACTTGAAGATATTTTTTTTCATTGAGTTTTAGAGAGTGTGGAAGAGAGGGGGAGAGATAGAGAGAAATATAGATGTGAGAGATTGGTTGCCTCCTGCATGTGCCCTGAATGGGACCAAGGATAGAGCCTGCACCAAGGTACATGCCTTTGACCAAAATCAAACCCAGGACCCTTCAGTGCTTGGGCTGATGCTCTAACCACTGAGAAAAACAGCTAGAGCTCTTCCTAACATTTTTATATTGTGGCTGAATATGTATCTATAAAACTTGCTGTTTTGCAAGTTTTAAAAATTCATATGAATGAGGTAAATCAGTTGGTTGCTTTTTTACTCAACTTTATGTTTTTAAGAATATAAATGTTGATATGTGTTTATTTTAACTCTAATAGTCTAATGTAGAAATATACTACAATTTATTCACTCATTATTCTGAAACTATATTCTGGGCATATAGTTTCCAGTTTATTTTTTGTTATCCATTTTGCAATGAATATTTTTGTAATTCCTGTCTTCCTTGTACATGAATAAGAATTTCCATGGGATATACACCAAAATGTGAAATTGTTGCATTATAAGACATCTTCAACTCAAGTATTTATTTTAATTTTACACTCAGTATAGGATGAGTTTGATAAGGTTGAGAGTATTTTTGTATGTTTATTAGGTTCTCTTCTGTGATTTGCCTATTCGTAACCTTTGTCCATAGCTCTGTTGGGTATTTGCCTTTTTTTGTTATAGTTTAAATATTCTTGACATTAATCTTTGCCATTTATTTTTATTGCAGATATCTTATCCTTCTCTGTAGCTTGTCTTTTAACTTGTGTTTTCTTTGCCTTTTGTGTTTTTAAAAAAATCCTTTCATTTATTCATTAAAAAAACACTGTTGGGATTGAACTTGTTTTTTATTTTAAATGAATCTGGGGGAAATTGCCGTTTTTGTATACTGAGTTTTCATATCTTTTTGTTTATTTATATGTTCATTAATTTCTGGGTACCTTGTTTTTGTTGCAGTTGTGAATAAGATGTTTTCTCTGTTACATTTTAAATTGGTTATCGCTGGTGTACAAGAATGCCATTGATTGACTTTTGTGTATTGATCTTATAATGAGCATCCCTGTGAACTCTTTTATTAGTTCTAATTGTGTTTAGATCCTCTTAGATATTCTTTGTAGAAATTCTATTGTTTGAAAATAAGGACAGCTTTGTCTCTTACTTGTTTTCCAGTTCTTACACTTTATTTAAATTTTTTTGCATCTATAGTAGTCCCCCATTATCCACAGGGGATATATTCCAAGATTCTAGTGGAGGTTTGAAACTACAGATAGTTCTGAACTCTGTATATACTATGTTTCTCTCTCTCT